TAATTATTCATATTTCCTGTCGTTGAGCTAAATTCGCTACAATAGGCTATATATCAGATTCTTTTATTTACAAGTTTCATGTTTGTGTTTATCCTGTTTTTTCCCCCGTTGCATCTGAAAATTACTTTCAGAATTTTTTTTTTCAAAGCACCCCCACACACACAAAATTGAGCCTGCCCCCTCACTTTGTGCGCTCTGGCGCCGACTCTGACTAAGCCAAACACCAAAAAACAACTAAATATGTGTATGTACAGCCACACATATGTACATATACATGTACATGTTTATAATTAAATTCAATATATATTATTTCTTTTCCATTTTGTATGCTGAAGTTGGCATGCTAGCTTAGCCACGTGGCGCAGGTTGGTCCGCTGCATATTTCCATTATTTGGGCGAAAAGAAAAATAATAAGAGCTAGTTCATGGATTAAAGTTCTCCGTCGCTACGATGGATTTCCGTTAACTGGAGCGAGTCTATGACGGATTTTTTCCGTCAATTGCAGGGTTCTTGTCTGTCCTTAATGTCTTATATTCACTTTTCATAATTGTAAGGCTGTAAATAGGATTATATTTCTCAAATAGTGTAATAAATGTCTTAATTTTAATTTGAAAAGAGGAGGTGTATTCAGCCTGCTGAGGGGGATGTGGATCAAAGTCTGGAGTGGATTGAAAGTAGGGATGTAACGATTACCGGTTTTACGATAAATCACGATAAAATGCCCTGACGGTTAGTATTACCGTTTAAAATTTAATTATCATCAAAACCGTGTTTGATTATCGCAATTTTGAAAACTCGTGGTAAATCCTGTCCAGCCAGCATCAGTCTGACGCAGAAGCAGCATGCAGTGTTGTTGTTTTTTGCATGAGACGAAATGGCGGAATGCAGTGACAGTGCTCGGGAGATTTTTCAGCCATCTAAGAGGACCAAATCGGTGGTCTGGTCGTATTTTGGCTTTTACAAGAGTCCTGAAGGCAATTTAATCGAGGACGGTCACCCTGTCTGCCGATCTTGCAAGAAGAAAGTCGCTGCAAAAGGGGGAAACGCATCAAATTTGCTCAGCTATATTACCACCAGATGGCGTGCATCCGTGACAAGGATTTCAAGGATTGTAAAATCCAGATATATAGAAATTCAGGTCACACTCTATATTAGATGGAAATATATAGTCTAAAATCTAAAGGAAAAGGACTTTGGTTTTTAATAATTTTTTATCTGACACTGCAAAATTAGTAATTTGGAAAATAAGAAAAAATAAACCTAGGGCAGGATACAATAAGTGTGGTTTCTATGTTTTTGGGACTTGTGGCTGCTAGATTAAAAGTAGAGTTTGCTTACTACAAGTTGGTGGACTGTTTACCAAAGTTTGTTGATATCTGGGCTGTTAATGAAGTATTGTGTACTTTATATAAAAACAATGAAATGGTTTTGACTTTTTAAACATGTAGGTAAAAAAAAAAAAAAAAATTATATATATATTTTTAACCTACATGTTCAAAAAGTCAAAACCATTTAATTGACGCGATCAGTCAGCTGCCGCCAGTTAAGATGTAAATAATATGATATTAGTCAACTGTTTGTCTGTCTGTCTGTCATCTGACAATATCTAATTCTTCATGGCATAACTCTCGTTAAGAAAGAGATTCTCATTTCCCATGATAATAAAATAAAGTACGTAATTAAGAAGATAAACAAACATGTAAATAAACAAGTATATTAATGATCAATTAAGAAATGCAATATTTGTCATTGGATGTCATGTATGAATTTATTTTTAAAGGGGTCATATAATACGATTTCACCTTTTTAACAGTTGTTTGTGTGTAATGTAGTGTGAGCATAAACAACATCTGTAAAGTTACGAAGCTCAAAGTTCAATGCAAAGGGAGAAACATCATTAGGGTTAGTGACATCAGAAGGGTTAGTGACATCATAAACCCAGATAAACCCCGCCCCCGGGAACATGAATGAATGAATGAATGATGCATTTATATAGCGCTTTATTGTGTATTGCTGTACACCCAAAGCGCTTCACAGTCATGTGGGGGGGGGGGGGGGCCCTCCCTCAACCACCACCAGTGGCC